GGCGATCCAACAGGTGAAAAATCAGGACGATCATCATCATGGGGCGGAAATGAAGCGGTCTGAGAGGGTATAGGGAGTACTCCACCACCGTCTGCTTCCATTTTTATTTTTTTAAGGAGAGGGAAGAGAGAAGATATGGAAAACTGAAAGGTCAAAGAAAAAAACCCATCATTTTTTTCCCTTTTTTTCCCCTTCTTCTTCCTCCTTATTCTTCTTCTTCTTCTTCTTCGCTTGATCTCTCGAAGAAGTTTTACTGTAAATAGGCAAAGTATATATAGGAAAGATCAATAGAGACGAAGGTTTTTATTTTTTTTAGGGCCTTTGGTTACTCAAAGTGTGCTATTTTTAGTCCAAAAAAACAAAATAATATTTAGTCTGTTTTAGTCAAATTAGTCCAGCTTTCAATTATTCTATTATAGAAAAAAAAAAATTAAGATAATTAAATTATTTATGATGATTTTTTGAAATATTTATTATTAGTAATTTTAAAACATATAATTTGATTAATGTATTCCTACTAAATGTACTACAACATTAAATGGAGTTGATATCTTGCACAAAATTCATAATTAGAAATGCAATTAATGGGTGTGATTTTTGTCATTCACATAACTAATATTCTATATTAGTTGTCTGTATTATAAAAAATAATTGTTCATTTATAATATTAAAATAGTATTAATTAATTTTTTTTCCTTATTTAAACCTTACAATTAATCTTCTTAAGCTATAAAAAGAATTGTAAAGTGTCGAAATAATTTTTTTAAGGGGAAAATTAGTAAAACTATTAATCTTATTTATAATTTTTTAAAGAGGTTTAAAAAAAAGTGAACACTTAATATGAAACAAAGAAAATATATATACTCATAAATTATGTAGAAAATCTATGAATGTTAATTTAAACTATAATGAAAAGTAAAACAAAAATAACTAAAATGATCAAAATCACCTTAGTATGTTAAAACAATTATTTTCCCAAATGGTTAAAAAGGAAAACATAGCATGCATTACTATTTCTGAATTACTAATTATTACCGCACATTGTTAATTTCTACATTATAATTTGTACGATATTAATTTTTATATAACTTATCTTTGCACAAATGCTAAACCTTTTCCATCTCAAGTTACATTACGCAATGATTACATTTCTTATAACCTACAATATTGATAGTACTTACTTTTCATATTTCAAGTGTTTCATATAAATTCTTTTCAAATTACTTTTCATAATTTGCATACGACGTCGGTGCATAATTATCGTATTGATACCGAGGTAGTGACTAGTGAGGTAGGTTTCAACATGCCACATAATCATCTACTCCTTCCGTTTATTTTAACTTATCACTTTTAATATATACAAAAAAATATTATTTTTTCTTGTCTTACACTCAGTATTAAATATTTATTCTATAAATCATTTTTCAAATGCTAATACTAAATATTATTTAATAGGAATAGCTTGGTAAAATACCAATAACAATAGTAGTTATTTTCTTAATAATTGAGTCAAATCAAAGAGAGAGTAATATTTTTGTTCGCTATTATTTAGAACTCTTTATGAACTCCCTTGGTAAAAAAATAAGTTATCCTAAAAATGGCAGAATAGGTAATTTATATGGGTTATCCACTCACAGTTATCTATATACCCATTTAAAAGTGGATAATTAAATGGATAAAATAGGTAAAAAATGTTAATTCATAAAATAAAATAAAAAGAGTGGTCGGGCTGGTAAAATAAACTTTTAAAAATTTATTATTTTTTATAAGAATTTTTTTAAAAAATATATTTTTTTAGGGGGGAGGGGGGGTAGTAGGG